CATCTGAAACACATGGGTAACAGTCAAAATGGTGGGCTCTAGAATGGTTTTAGAGGTTGAGATCTTTATGAGTTACACATGCTGGTCAGACCCATGAGCACCTGTGGCTCACACCTTCTGTTCCCTTCCTGGCCTGTGCAGAATGGAAACAGCAGACTCACACTCATGGGCACTCTAGGCCTTATCAGACATTTTATACAAGCCTGGACTGCTTAGTAAGGGAATAGAGCACTCTCTGATGGGACTTTCCACTTAGATTGAGAATTTTATTTGAAAAGAATCTGGTTTAAATGGCATTGTGGTCCCAGGTAGCTGCTCTCCCCACTGAGAGCTGAGCTGCAATGTAAGAATAGTATATTTGTGCTTAGAGTTGGTGTTTTCTTTCAGTGTAATGCATGCAGTGGTCACAACCCAGTTACTCATAATATTTGGATTGTATTTGTTCGTAGATATGCCCAGAAGACAGACTAGAGAGTTAGTGTTATATACCATATAGAACTGTCAACCAACTATAAACAGGCCCAATTAAAAACTGTTCCATTACTGAGCTACGCAAACACACATTAGAGGCCTTTGCTGATGACACATTAGCTGGATCTTAGCCACCCCAGAAAGGGTTTGATTTGAAGCTGACTGTTGCCAGAGATGCATATTGGAATCCAGTCTACCCATAGTTCCTCTGAAGGTGATTTTGTAATCTACAAAAGGGTATAGGAAAATACACCTAAAAGCAAATTTGTGGCTGAGAGGATACATAGAGGCTGTTTGCACATCTTCTGTGCCCCACACCCACCAATACCTAAATCTGTTAAGACAGAAAATGTTTTCTTCGTGCTCAATAAGCAGTTCCAGACAGAATAATAATACTCTTTAAAATATATTTACCTGTTAGTTGGAAGTACCCAGAATTATCAGAAACAATTGCAAAAAAAAAGCTTACACAGCTTCTTAGCAATTTTTGCTTTTTTTTTTTTTTTTTTTGCCAAACAGTAAATTGCCTTTAGCAGCAGTTTAAAATGTTATTGTGAACAAGCTATATTTTCACCACTTTACAATGGAAAGTTGTGACAACTACAGGTTATCAAATTTGCACTAAACTATGCCAAAAAAGTTTGAAGCGCTCTATTCTCAGACATGCTGTATTACTTCTCATTCAAAATTGAAAAATATAAAGGTATCCAAACTGCTGTCTTAATGTAAATGTAACTAGTTTTCCTTCAAGTGTTGACTAGGGAGTCAGTTTCTCTCTTAAAGACACTCACTGTACAACTGAGAGCAGCTGTCATATTTCTGGCAAAATGTGTTTACGTATCTGACAAGCTGTACATTTGTGTATGGACTGACATAAAATGTGAAAGCCTGTAAGTGTACATGTAGCGGTGTGGTGTTCTGTCATGAGGATACAGCTGAATGTTTTTAGCTTGCTGACTTACAGACACAGGCTGTTTACAAAATACTAGCTGGAAAGTCTGTAATGTTCATGTCATAACTTTTAGTTAATTGCCATTGAGCACCTGTTCTGAGGAGGTGAGATGTGGACTTGTGCTTATGAACTGGAGTTTAGTCATAATCCCTCCTGGCTGTGTGAATAGCTTGCTCACTCTGCTGGCCGTTGAAATGTATGTTCTCCGTGATAAGCTGTCCATGTGTTTGTGATAAGAATGCTTGTCAACCATGACCATCTTTGAGCCTTCCTAGTCCTCCACCTGGCACAGTATTTGAAATGGCAAAGGATGTGCTTCATCCTCTAACAGCGTACACTCCCAGAGCTGATATTCTGGATTGTGACTGTGCACATTTCCTCTAGTTCATTTCTGTAGTCCCTATAGAACGATCTGTAATAAAATAGTATACTGGACTGTGCATCAAAGGGATGTAAAATTACAGTATTCCAAAGGTTGAAGTTCTGCTGTTTTGTTATAATGCCTGATACACATCTTGAATAAAGTCTTAACATTTTTCTTTAAAAAAAAAAATCTTTGTAAGGTTGGGCTTATGAGGAAAGAGGAAATACTTTTTTCAAATATGGGAGGTAACAAGGATTAGAAGCTGAGTGTTCAGCCACCGACTGTCCTGCTGACTTGGCCCTATGCCTGTTGCACAGGATGTTGAGAGGGAAAGAAAATCAGATGATGTGTTTTGAAAACCAGTTCCTCACACAACTACAAACCTGAAAGTATAACTGTTTCACATTTTTAAAAATCATCAGCAGAAACTAGGTAGCTGTGAAAATAGAATAGTCCACTGGTAGGGTTTAAATTGTGCAAATAGACCTTTGGCCCATCATTTTTCTTCTCTGAGCATTTCTTCATTTGCAAATGGGGGAGTACCTGTGCAAGTGACAACAGGGTGGTACAGGGCCACTGTGGGTGGAAGGGATGCCCTTAAACCTGCTGCAGCCTTTACCTTTCATATCTGAACAGGAAGACTCACACTTCATTGGGTGTCCACAAAGACGTGAACGCTCAAAATCTGAAACATCAAAATTAAACACAGACCCAATTTCTTTGCTTTTATAGTCCTGTATTCTACGTTTGACAAAAGGACTGTAAAATAAAGCAGTGGTAAGCAGCAGATTCACAGGACTATAAGCAGGAAGAGATGGGAAAAAAAAGGCTGGAAATCCATTCACTTGTTTGTTTACTGAGCCTGGTCCAATGTCGACAGAACTGAGATTAACCAGGTTAAGAGTTGGCAAAGGACAGGAAAGCAAAGTAATAAAATTTAAAAGCCGAACTAGTACAGTGTTATGAAGTGTTTAGTATTTATAGAACCATACTGCAGTCATTTGTTGATTTAGATATGAATTTTCATGTGTTGTTAGAAGGCTCAGGGAAATACACAGGATCCCCAGGAGTGAGACTGAGATTCTGGGTCTTGCTAGCTGTACTTTGGGTCACTTATTTAACCCTCTCTCAGCTTCAGTTTCCTCAAATCTAAATTAGGACTTAACTAATCATTATGTCCTTTGTAAGGCTAGAAATGTGGATTAGCAATTAGATAGATATGTATGTATCCAGTTTTGTAGATATGCTGGGATATAGTAGGTATTCAATAAATATATATATACCTGAATAAACAAATTATACATCTATTAATATTTTATGTTATACATATAGTTGAACATCATTTAGGTAAACTCTTTAATGAAAGACATTTTATTGTCAGATTATAAATCAGTGTGATGATAATCCCTCCTACCCACAAAACTAAAATTATATGTATGAAATTCCTGTCAGCCCTCCCACTTCAGTCCATCTTTGGATGCTGAGGCTCTGGTTGCCAGTCTTTATCTCTATACCTCCTGTCCCTGGTCTAGAGGAGAAACAAAGGTGCTCTGAGGCCCCGTTAAGAGACCCTTGTCATCCATATTTGCATTAAAGAAGTCATGGAGACTGTGCAAAACTGTCCTTCTCCCAAACTTCTGCAGATACCATTTCCATCCCACTACCCAGAGGTACATCAGCAAGCAGCAGCCAGGCAGGTGAGAAAGATGTGGAAGCCTTGTAAGTGGTTGGCTTTGACATCTCAGAAGTGCAAAGAAATGAAAATCCATCAAAACAGAACGCCATTCCATGTTTCAGGCTCTTACCTCAGTTCAAATCAAATGTCTGTTCTTTATTTATTGGTCCCATAAATAGACACACACTTTAGATAATTCTATTGTTATCCCTTCTTCTTTTAATGAACACATACTGGTTTCAAGGAATACCCCTAATTGTCCTAGACTATAACCACTCAATTGAATTTTACTCAGTCAGTGCTGCTTCCCACCTGCTTCAAGTAAACAATGCTAAACCCTTCCATCGTTTCTAAAACAACTGAGATTACTCTTTCCCCCACTAGTTTCTACAATGATTGTTGAAAAATTGGCCAGGCGTGGTAGCTCACGCCTGTAATCCCAGCACTTTGGGAGGCTGAGGCGGGCAGATTGCCTGAGCTCAGGAGTTTGCCACCAGCCTGCAGAACATGGTGAAACCCTGTCTCTACTAAAATACAAAAAATTAGCTGGAGATCAAGACCATCCTGGCCAACATGGTGAAACCCAGTCTCTAATAAAAATACAAAAATTAGCTGGGTGTGGTGGCGCGGGCCTGTAGTCTCAGCTACTTGGGAGGCTGAGGCAGAAGAATCACTCCAAGAGGCGGAGGTTGCAGTGGGCCAAGATCGCACGACTGCACTCCAGCCTGGGCAACAGAGTGAGACTCTATCTCAAAAAAAAAGAAAGAAAGAAAGAAAGAAAAAATGTTACAATAAATGAGAAGTGTTATGAACACAATGAACCTGGTATGTTAGACATTAAGTGTGCTGTCACCCCATGTGAACCTCCAAGTGAAATTGCTCACATAACTGTTTTTTGCTGCATGCAAACCTGCTAATACACTGTGCGCTAGGGTGGGCTCCTGACTTAAGAACAGCAGCCAATACCTACTATAGACAATGACCTGACCAGACCTAGTATAAAAAGGTAGTCTGGCCCAGTTAAATTCCCTTGGCAATTAGAGACTAGAGACAGGAGCTGAAAGTCATGATGTAGAAAAGAACCTCAAAGGTGCAAGTTAAAGTTATTACAAGGAAACAGAAACTGTAAGTATGCAAAAGCTGTGAATTAGAGAAGTTAGTGAGTACAGGGAGAATGGAGTTAACAATGTAAAAAGAATCAAGTCAAATGTGTGGCAGAGCCCATGCCTAAACATCCACCTTCTCCTGCTGAGGAACACCACCCAATTTCTGCTCTTCCTGATGCTGGGGGGTGATTTCTGGGTGGGAGATGGGGTTAGTGAGGTGGCTCCTGAATTCCCAGGCCCATATCCTTAAAATAATTTCACATTGTTTGAGCTAACTTGCAACTTTTGAGTCTTTTTGTTTGTCCCACTTGAGATTCCTTGCAACTAAATAAGTCTAATTGAAACAACTAGTTAAGCCAATACCATTTGTTAAAAATAAAGCACAATTCTAAACTTATGTTTCCCTAACCAAGTCTGGCAAAGTCTGATCCATTAAGTTTTAAATCTTGTACAAGTTTAATGTTGTCACTGTATCGTTACATATCCATTGGTACAATTTACATCGCTTATTCATTTTTGCAAAGATATCATGTACACAAAGATACAATTCAATAACTGAGAAACAAGTGAAACTTCTGATCTATACTTTCAGATTTGTTCGATCATGATACTTCTGATAAGGATCGTCGACATACCAGTTTCGCCTCTTCCAGAAGGACGTCGTCATTTTATCTAAGAGTTTACTCTGGGTTTTATTGCAGAATACAAATTCCCTCAGTCGCTTTTTTCTTGCAGGTTCCTTTTTCCATAGTTTTTTCTTATAACCAGCCTATCAGATATTACGAAGAAATGTAAAACATCATATTATGTAGAAAACAACAGGTATCTTCACAACTCAAGGTTTATAGACCCAGTAAGAACAAAAACCAGACTTCCATAGGGGCTGGAATATTTTTTGGAAAGATGTGATTCTCAATGGGGGGTGGATGCAGAAAGCATGTGTAGTTTGAAAAAGAAATAGTAATACATAATATATATATTTTTAAATGTTATTTAAATTAAACTCACAGAAAATAAAACTAAATGTGGCTGGGAAAGTACAAGGTAACATAGAATTATAATTACTAACTTTATAGGCATGATCCTACTATCTCTACAGCAATCTTTAACAACATACTATTATTCTCATTTTACGTATTTTAAAAAAGAAACCATTGATTAGAGAGGGAGCAGACAGAATTCTGAGAGCTAATAAAGGTTCTTTTTTTGTCTTGTTTTGAGACAGGGTCTCACTCTGTTACTCAGGCTGGAGTACAGTGGCATGATCGCAGTCACTGCAGCCTACCTCCTGGGCTCAAGTGATCCTCCTGCCTCAGCCTCTTGTATAGCTGGGACCACAAGTGTGCACCACCATACCAAGCTAATTTTTAAAATTTTTATAGAGATAAAGTCACACCATCTTGCCCAGGCTAGTAAGAGTTTTTAACTACTGTCTTTCCTAATGTAGAGGAGGATGGAGTGCTGGCTAGGGTAACGACATTAATGTTTATTAAGGAGGCTGAGTATAGCAAGAGCTGAGACACACAGTTCTCAAATATATGACTTCATTTATACTTTTCACACACAAGGGACTAGGAAGTACTTTTCTAAGGAACTATGAATATGGTAAGACTATCATTAGGAGTAGTGAAGGAATGGTTAATCCATATGTTTATCCCAGAACTTTCATATACACCCATACATGTATTACTCATTTTGAATATTTTTTTTTTTTTTTTTTTTTTTTTT